AATTTCAGATAGGTAGGGCAGATACTCTGGTCCACTTTTTCCTATGAGGAAGCTGAAGTTGAGAGAACTTTACAGGCTGTAACTGACTTGCCTATCGCTAGGAAGCGGCATATTGGAAAGAGAATCCCACTATACCATAGTATCTTTATATTTCATTAAGAAATTATTTAAAATTAAGATATTTTTCTGTTAAAATACACATGACTCAAATTTTACTATAATCCAAGAATTCTGAATGTAGGGATCATGACTTATTAACCTTTTAATCCAATGTACCACATGACATAATGGCTGAATAATCATGTTTGGATGATCAAACGAATAAATGAATAAATTATACTCAGTAGCTAATTCCTTAGTTATGTTTGAAAACTGCATTATCTTTCGCACCAAACTTTTAACATCATTCTTCCTCAAAACAAAAATAATCCATTTATTCCAGACAAGTGCTAGGATACTTGTTTTGTAACTTAGATCTAATTTAAAATGTAGTATGGCGGTTTATTTTGAAAAAAAATTAATAAATCTTTTTATCAAGTAAAAAATCACTTACAGATTTATCAGTTTTCATGAGATGATCGTTTAAAATTATGTCTATACAGTGAAGGATAATGTGCTAAATATTTCTCAGGGGACATAAAACAGTTAATTCAGCTATTAGAGGCACTGGGAAAATCTAGCTAAAGGAATTTCTGTAAGCTAAATTCCACAAATGAAATGGATAAATGAATCACATTAGGGAGCATACTAAAAATTACCAAAAATGTTCACCGTCTTCTTTCAGATCAAACAATACTTTGTGGTGATATTTCAAGTTACTTCATTTTTAAACCATGACTAATTATAATGCCAATGCTTCCAAAATCAACAATGACCTCACTTTTAAAGCATTCTTGTCAGGATAATATTTTCTTTCTAAAACATTACACTCATTCCTTTCAGCCAACCCTAATACTGAGTTCTCAAAAGTTTAATCAGCCACATTTTTTTTCTATCAAATAGGCCAATTGTTATAACATTTTTGGGGATACAAATATTATGAAAAACATTATGAAAAAATAAATGATTTTAAATGGTAGCCTGAAAAAAATTCACTTTTTTTTTTTTCATGAAAAACAGCTATATTTGTTCACATGCTATATTACTAGGGAAGATGCATACTGTCCAACTTTGATCTTTTATGCTCATTTTGGTTAAAGATTAAAAGCTATATTAGAAATCTTCTAAATGAACTAGACCACTGTTAAAGAAAGAAAGTTGATTCCCTTATTCTAATTCTTTATGCTTATTCTCAAATTCCTATCACAGTACTGAAGTAGTCAGTTAAGGAAGTTGTCAGATAAGAACAGTCCTGGGCTGTAAGTTTAACCCTGTATATTTTGCATTCACACCAGAAAGTCAACAGCTGGTATTAGGAAAACATGATTTGGTGAAATGCTGGAAAAGGTTTTACTATTATCTTTTGACCAAACCTTAATAGTGTAAAATAAGCAAATGGCATGCAGGTTTTATAGCAAATGTTCATAAAGAAAATTAGTGTTTGGATTCAGGGATAAACCAAGAAGAATGACAAATTTAAACAGGAGAATAACTATTTCAAGAAAAATATACTAATCCCTATTAAAAAGAACTTAATACTGTATACAATAACAATGTTATTCCCAAAAATTCCTCTAGGCTTCAAAGAGGAATACAGGTTAAATGTTAGTTCTAACGCGATTTAGATTATTTTCATGCTCTTATGGAATTATAAACAATGGTTTGAAATTAAAAAAAAAAAAATCTGTCTACATTTTATAATCCTGTATCAAGTTTCTAAACTGCAATGTTTCAGAATGAGTTAAAAAAAAAAAGTTCAGAAAAAGTACTGATCTGAGAACAGTAAAAATAGTAACGATAGTAAGAGCTAAATGTTTTAAAAGCCTACTGCAGGTTCATGGTGGCACAGTGTTTAAGAGCTCAGCTGCTAACCAAAGCAGTTTGAATCCACCAGCCGCTCCTTGGAAACCCCGTGGGGAGGTTCTGCTCTGTCCTATAAAGTCACTATGAGTCGGAATCAACTCGACGGCAACCAGTTTTTATGGGTAGGTTTATGAATCATCTTACTGAATCTCATAATGACCCTATGCGGCTAGGTATTATTGTATTATTATCATTCTCATTTTGTGGAGAGAACTACAAAACCCAGAGAGAGTAAATCAATCTGCCCCAGGTCACACAAGTAATAAATGAGGACAGTAGTATCTCTTAGCTAATTACCCAATACCTTGAACAAGTTACATTATTTCCTGGGTCTCAATTTTCTTATACAAGAGGTGAAGATGCTTAGACACATCTTTTTTTTTCTTTGCTTTTTTGTTTTTCCCAAAGGCTCTTTAGAGACATTTCTAGGGTTTTATAAAAAAAAAAAAATTAAGTATATACTGCCAAACAATGAAGTCTTAAACTGCTCGAGAAGTCTACTCATTACTTTTACATGCTTTAAAGGTTTCTGTAAGATTTATTTTTTTAATATAGAATTTTGAAGCTTAAAAAAGTTTTAAAACTACTGTAACTAGGCGATTATCTCTAATATCTCTTTCAGTTCTAAAATCTTTGTTTCTACCTGGAAATATTTTTGTTTATCTGATCATTTAAAAATAAATAGTTTCACTATCTTATAATTGAACTAAAGTACCTTCTAGCAAATCTTAGCATAACCTTAACCTAGAAAAGTTTCTAGGATGGTCTTAGTTCTAAAGGAAGAAAATTAAAGGGACCCTTTCCTTCTTTTTAATGATACTTATATTAGGAAAGACTTGAATTCTATGACTGTTTTTCAGACTGTGGGATTGGAGTTATTAGATCATGAAACCAATATAATGGTTTTCAAAAGATTGAAAACAACTAGAATAAAAAAAATCTGGTAACTATATCGCAAATATAGTATTCAACCATGAAATCGATCTACTTAGGTAGCTATGTACTCAGTCATGATGTAAAATATATTTCTTAGTGTGGGCCTCAATCAAAATAGATTGAAAGTCATTGTACTAGAGTTCCAAGGCATATTTTATATCTAAATAGATCTAACACAAAGAGAGTTATTTGATTACCTTTTGATGACTGCCATTTCTAGGCTCTATACCTAGAATATTTTGCTTTTTGTATTTATTCTGAAAGTATTGATATGCTGAAGAGCCAACTCTACTAACCATGCAAAAAAAATTCTAGGAACACAGCCTGATCACTGGTTTTGCAAAGAAATATAAACATAAAACTTGTCAGGCAGCAAACATAATATTTAAAGAAGGTATCCAAGAGAAACTGGGGCTCCTTGGAGAAACGGTAATTCCAAGCCTGGGAATAACATACAAGGTGAGACTAGGACATCTTGTTGCATCAGAAAGCAAAGGAGCTATCAAAGATTAGGGTTGTGTCAGAAGGATACAGGCGACAACCTGAAGATTCCCACTGATCAAAGATGGGACAATTTAGGCACCAATTATAATAGACTGAAACATAAATACAGTCATGAGTCACTTAATGTCCAGGATACATTCCATGAAACAGGATGTTATGTGATTTGGACATTGTGTGAACACCACAGTATTTGCTGGGGCAAATAACCTCCCTCTACAATTTACTGTATATTATATGCCTGGCAGCACAATCCTCTGTATACAAGAGACACGAGATAACTTGTTGAGTGCAAGAAGCTGTTGTGTTTGATACGTTCGGTTATGTCCATTATGTCCCCTTTTCCAATCGGGATTTCTGAACTCTGTTATGACCTTACGGGACCATGGATGTATATGTGGTAGGGCGTTGCCTGAATAGACGTTATGTGGCACATGATTGTATATAAAAACACAAGAGTTCAAATAAAACAAAACATTGATTGCTTCCATGCTTACAAGGACACCAACTTATTTTTCTAAAAATTGATATATAAAAGGAAAGAATAAAGTATGTTCTCCTTACTTTCCTCTACCAATTATATTGCAGCTCTATCCAGAGAGTTCATGAAGGAAAATTCTTCTTTACAGAATTCCAGGTTTTAAAAAAAATGCAGGACAAATGTAGAAAATCACCAAATTATAACCCTAATGAAATAACGAATGATTAGCAATGGCTACTAAAACCATTAGATAAAAGGTAGACAGGGAACTTTTTAATGATGAATCAGGCTGGTAACGGCTGAACCCACTGATGAATTTTAACATCACTAAAAGTGGGATACAATAGGAAGTATATATAACAATACAAAGTACTATTACCCCAAAAGAGAACCTGAATCTAATCAGTCCTCTAGATCTAACTACCAGTTACAGGAAACATAGGTGATGGAAAAAGATGTTAAAAAATACCACAAAGATATAATCTGCTAAATTCAATCTATGGGAAATTCTACAAGACCTGGTTTATTCAATAAATAATGGCAAAAACAAGGACAGGAATCGTTATAGATTCAAAGAGACAAAAGATTCACCTAAATGCAACATACAGATCTTGTCTGAATTCTGATTTGAACAGACAAATTGCAAAAGGATGTTTTTCAGAATTGGGGCAATTTGAATACAAACTGGATGTTAGATAATATTAAGGACTTATGTTTTTGATAGCTGTGATAATGGTAATAGGGTTTTATTTTTAAAAAAATGTTTCTTAAAACCTTATAAGAATAAAGTATGATACACAAGTAGAAATTCAATTAGTAAAATGATATGTAGTAAATACTTTGATGTACAGATAGTCCCTTTTCAAGGAAAATATTTTTTTCTGGTAGAAACTGGAATTCCAAATCACTAAAAACATACTGTTATCCAACTTCCCATCTTTAAAGGAAGGTATTAAAGATAACTCAGCTGGGTGAATGTCAGACTACAGAGTTTTGTTTCTGGATTTTTTTTTTTTTTTAACATTTTAAAATGTAAACATATACTCCAAATGCAATACTTTAAAACGTCACAAGTATATAATCATATTATGTTACCATAAATATTTTATTAGAAACTTACAAAATAGCTGAACTGAAGAACAAGTTTGTTTCATGATCATCTTCTTGAAGCACTGAATTTATTTTCTTTCCCGTAGCTTTACTTATAGATGTCTTAAGTTTCTTAGCTAGCTTTTTCGGTGTGTTGGTTATAGAAGATTCTTCTGTACAGCAACTATATACTTCTACCTTTATTTGAAAGTCTGGCCCAGCTTCATTACTAAAAACGAGAGATTCATAATGTTAGAAATTTAACTCAGTAGAAAATAAAATTATAACATCCTTTGATGTTTTCATAACATTTAAAATCAGTGTTTGAAATAAGTTTATGTTAATATATGCTAATGAGATAAAAATCTCCCTGTTTATTTAATATCTAAATGGCCTGAGTCACTGCAATTTCAGAGCTAACCAACACATACAGGCATATTAATTAAACAGAATAAAATGGCCTGGTCATCCTGTTACCAATGCCATTTCTCCTTGCAATTCCTTTAATATCACCACTTTTAAGGTATTTACATTATACGTGTAATTTTCTGAAATGACTATTGTTTCAAAACAAAATCTGCCGAAACCTTTAGTTCTCATTTCTTCTTCATAAGGACTCATTTATAGTCCACTCATAGCTGCCCCTCAACACCCACTATGCTTTTGTACCAAACAGCTATAAAGAACATTTCACTACTTGGTTATATAGGGAAAAAACAATATAAAGGGACATATATTTCAAGGCATGAACTCCTCGAGGGCAGGGGCTGTCTTGGTAATCCTGTATTCTTAACCGAGCACTGTGCCTGCAAGATAAAAGATACTCAATACATACTTATTAAATCAATATGCAGAAATTCTGCCATTTTAGTAAACGCTAAGATTGGCTTTGCCCTTTTCCAGACACAGTGAACTACCTTTACCATAAAAGACTGTGGTGGTGTTACTAACAATAAAATATACAAAAGCTACAAAAGAGATCCATCAGCAGCAGATGTTTCCTACAGACAGAAGATCCATCAGCCTCAGAGATTTTAAAAATGCAGCACAGACTTTTTAAGATTTAAATGGCCAATCTATACTTTGAATAAATCCAAGAAATAACTTCCAGATATTTTTATAGTTTACTATTTGGCAACTTTTAAACATACAGTATTCCTGGTAATGACTACCAAATGTCAATATTTAGAGGAAAACCAAAGATTCATAAATATTGAATACTCATTAAAAGAAACAATCATCATAACAAAAAGCACATTTTTAAACATTTAAAACATTTGTCAGCAGTTATTTTTAACACAATTTAAAAATATTTACAGAATATTTTAAAAATTATAAATCATGTGTAACCTGCACTGGTCTTTCCCTGAAAAAAAACTCTGATTTTTGTCTTTGTGGTAAAGACAAACAATAACAAAGTGAGATGAAGAAAAAAGCTCATTAACAGGATGATTTTGGTGGAAAACAATCTACTAGCAATAGTTAATAATGGAAATAAATGTATAATTAAGATACATTTAAGACAATTAAGGAAAATTCATTTTTTAGCCTCAATTATCTAAGCATTTGGGGACATTGTGGGGATTCTAAACAAATTCCTTTGATACAATACAGCTTATGAGTAAGAAGGTCTACATTACTGTTAATAAGCCAGAACAATGCATTTTATTTTTCTGTGCCATACAATTACTATGGGACACTGGACAGAAGCCATAAAATATGGTTTGCAATAGTTTTTTTTAATGTTATGTGAGGAGCAAAACTACTACTTTCAAATTACAACTGTATAGCTTCATAGCTAAATATGGCAAAAAAAATGTAGATTGATTTTATTTTAACAGTTCAGTAGCTATTAACATGTAGACATGATGATGGTGACTTTGAAACTCTGAAAGATACACAAATCACAAACTGATTTTAGGCCAACACAACCTTTGAAAGGGCCAGGAAGAACTTATTTCAGTTAAAAGTGATTTCTATGGCTATCTGAGGAGTTCTTTCTGGTTCTGTATTATGACCACAATAAAATGAGCCTGTAAAAGAGCAGAGGCAATAAAAACAGCCCTGAGGATCACCGAATTTTATTGTTTTGGAGTACATGAAAGAAGGGCACCATAAGAAACAAGAACACGTTGAAATTTTACTAAAGTGCTTTTCTTATGGTACATATTTCATTCCTACCTTATAAATGAAGTTGTTATACCGTTTTAGTATTCCTCTAACTAAATCTCCTATATGAGACAAAAGAACCTGTTTTATGCTCCAATTTACTCTATATTAAATAATGTTACAGTGAGGTTCCATTGCATGCACAGCTTCGGTAAGCATGAACTATAAATCTTTATAAAATTTCCAAAATTTATCATATCCAATGAGCCAAATATTTACTACTTGTTTAATGACAAGATTACCATTTTATTTTACATAGAAAAATTTCAAATGTAGAAATGGGCTTCTTTGAAATAAAGTAATTTTCAAAAACTGTTTTAAACTTTTTTAAGATCTTAATGCTTCCAAAATAATCCAAAACTCAGTAATTATGCCTTCCATGAAAAAAAGAAAAGGTAGAATTTTAGATTATTTTTATTCTCTGAAGATTAAAAACATACTTACAATATGGTTACATTTTCAAAACATATATCTGTGATTGTTTTATCCACAACCATCAAGTCAGTGTCAAAAACTTCAGCTCCCATTTTGAATAAACAAAAAATGGCATAGCGCTGTGATCCTAGAGAAGAAAATCATTTTAAGCAAAGATCCATGTGATAAATCATGCCTACCTACGTTATGTTAAAATCTAACAGAACATGAAAATATTGCCTTAAATATTTGTTAACAGATTCTTGCTTTCACATATTGTTGTTGTTAGGTGCCCTCCTGTCGGTTTTGACTAATAGAGACCCCATATCCTACAGAAGGAAACACAGCCCAGTCCTGGGCCATCTTCTCAATCCTTGCTACACTTAAGCCTACTGTTGCAGCCACTGTGTCAATCCATCTCGTTGAAGGTCTCCCTCTCTTTTGCTGATCCTCTACTTTACCAAGCATGATGTCCTTCTCCAGGGACAGGTCCCTCCTGATAACGTGTCCAAAGTACATGAGATGAAGTCTCACCATCCTCACTATTAAGGACATTCTGGCTGTACTTCTTCTAAGACAGATGTGTTCGTTCTTCTGGCAGTCCATGGTATGTTCAACATTCTTTGCCAATACCATAATTCAGAGGCATCAATTTTTCTTTGGTCTTCCTTATTCACTGTCCAGTTTTCAAATGCAGATGAGGCGATCGAAAATACCATGGCTTGGGTAAGGTACACCTTAATCCTCAAAATGACATCTTGCTTGCTAACACTTTAAAGAAGTATTTTGAAGCAGATTTTCCCAGTGCAATACACCGGTTGATTTCTTGACTGCTGCTTCCATGAGCATTGATTGTGGATCCAAGTAAAATGAAATCCTTGACAACTTCAATTGTTTCCTGGTTTATCATGATGTTATTGATCCAGTTGTGAGGATTTTTGTTTTCTTTATGTTGAGGTGCAAACCATACTGAAGGCTGTAGTCTTTGATCTTCATTAGTAAGTGCTTCAAGTCCTCTTCGATTTCTGCAAGCAAGATTGTGTCATCTGCATATTGCAGGTTATTAATGCGTCTTCCTTCAATCCTGATGCTGTGTTCTTCTTCATATAGTCCAGGTTCTCGGATTATTTGCTCAGCATACAGATGAATAAGTATAGTGAAAGGATACAATCCTGATGCACACCTTTCCTGATTTTAAACCACGCAGTATCCTGTTTAACAACTGCCTGTTCTGTTGGAACAACTGCCTCTTGGTCTATGCACAGGTTCCACATAAGGACAATTAAGTGTTCTGGAACTCCCATTCTTTGCAATGTTATCCATAATTTGTTATCCACACAGTTGAATTCCTTTGCATAGTCAATAAAACACAGGTAAACATCTTTTGGGGCCATGGTGGCACAGCAGTTAAGCGTTTGGCTGCTAACCAAAAGGTCGGTAGTTCGAATCCACCAGCAGTTCCTTGGAAAACCTATGGTGCAGTTCTACTCTGTCCTATAGGGTCGCTATGAGTTGGAATTGACTCAACAGCAATCGGTTTTGGTTTCAACATTTTTCAGGTATTCTCTGCATTCAGCCAAGATCCATCTGACATCAGCAATGATAACCCTCATTCCACATCCTCTTCTAAATCCAGCTTGAATTTCTGGCAGTTACTTGTTGATGTACTGGTGCAACAGCTTTTGAATTGATCTTTAGCACAATTTTACTTTTGTCTGATATTAATGCTATTGTTTTATAATTTCCGCATTCTTGGATAATCTTTCTTTGGGTTTGGCACAAATATGGGATCTCTTCCAGTTGGTTGGCCAGGTAGCTGTCTTCCAGATTTCTTGGCATAGATGAGGGCATGCTTTCAGCATTGCATTCTGTTTGTTGAAACATCTCAACTGGTATTCTGTCAATTCCTGAAGTCTTGTTTTTCACCAATGCCTTCAATGCAGCTTGGACTTCTTCCTTCAATGTTATAGGCTGTTGATCATATGCTACCTCTTGAAATGGTTGGATACTGACCAATTCTTTTTGGTACAGTGACTCCGTGTATTCCTTCCATCTTCTTTCTGTGCTTCCTGTGTCATTCAATATTTTGCCCATAAAATCCTTCAATATTGTAACTCGAGGCTTGATTTTTTTCTTCAGATCCTTCAGCTTGAAAAATGCAGAGAGAGTTCTTCTCTTTTGGTTTTCTAACTCCAGGTCTTTACACATTTCATTATAATACTTTACTTTGTCTTTTTGAGCTGCTCTTTAAAATCTTCTGTTCAGCTCTTTTACTTCACTATTTCCTCTGTTCAGTTTAGCTACTCTACGTTCAAGAGCAAGTTTCAAAATCTCTTCTGACATACATTTTGGTCTTTTCTTTCTTTCCCATCTTTTTAATGACCTTTTGCTTTCTTCATGTATGATGTCCTTGATGTCATCCCACAACTCATCTAGTCTTCGGTCATTAGTCTTCAATGTGTCAAATCTGTTCTTGAGATGGTCTCTAAATTTCCGTGGGATATACTTAAGATGGTACACTGGCTCTTGTGGGCATGTTTTAATTTTCTTTAGCTTCAACTTGAACTTGTGTATGAGCAATTGATGATCTGTTAAAACAGTTGGCCTCTGGTCATTCTGACTGATGATATTGAGCTTTTCTATCATCTCTTTCCACAGATGTAGTTGATCTGATTCCTGTGTATTCCATCTGGTGAGGTCCACATGTATAGTCACCATTTATGTTGTTGAAAAAAGGTATTTGCAATGAATAAGTTGTTGGTCTTGCAAAATTCTATAATATGATCTCCAGCATAGTTTCTATCACCAAGGCAATCACTAGTAATTATCAATGCATCTTGATGGCATGTTTCATCAATTTCAGACTGCAGAAGGTAGTAAAAATTTTCAATTTCTTCATCTTTAGAATTAGTGGTTGGTACATAAATTTGAATAATAGTAGTATTAACTGGTCTTCCTTGTAGGCATATGGATATTATCCTAATACTGATAGCTTTGTACTTCAGGATAGATATTGAAATGTTGTTTTTGATGATGAATGCGATGCCATTCCTCTTCAATTTGTCATTCTCAGCAAAGTAGACCATATAATTATCCAATTCAAAGTGGCCAATACCAGTCCATTTCAGCTCATGAATGCCTAGGATATCGATATTTATGTGTTCCATTTAATTTTTGATGACTTCCAATTTTCCTAGATTCATACTTGGTACATTGCACATTCCAATTCTTGATGGATATCTGCAGCTCTGTTTCTTCTCATTTTGAGTCATGCCACCTCAGCAGATGAAGGTCCTGAAAGCTTTATTCCACCCATGTAATTAAGGAGGCAGCTCTTCCCCAGTCGTATTTTGAGTGCCTTCGAACCTGAGGGGCTCATCTTCTGGCACTGTATTGGACAATGGTCCACTGCTATTCATAAGATTTTCATTGGCCAATCCTTTTTGGAAGTAGATCGCCAGGTCTTTCTTCCTAGTCTGTCTTAGTCTGGAAGCTCTGCTAAAATCTGTCTGCCATGGGTGACCCTGCTGGTATTTGAAATACTGATGGTACAGCTTCTAACATCACAGCAACATGCAAGCCACCACAGTACAACAAACTTACAGAGAAACTACGGACACTCAACTAGAACACAGCAATTAAACTAGGGAGTACCAAAAAATAAATATATAGGCCTCTCAGCAACCTAAAGAAACCACCCAACTCATATATATATTATTCCTAGAAAATTTTTTAAGCTTTAATTAATGGCAAACACATTATTACAGGTATACTATTACCTTTGTCATTTGGGTTTCTAAGTCTACTTAAGAAAAGACGTTTCTTATTAGAAGAGGTTCAGAGTAGGCACATTAACAACAACAAAACAATTTCCACGAAACTAAAAGCAAGAGAGGAAACCACAAAAAGCAATAAAAAATAGTCATGGGAACATTGAAAACATAGCTGCTGGGCCCTTTAATATGGTGATGTTTTAAAAAAACTATCAGGTAATTAAAGGGCTAAGTCCTCATTATTGAAAAAATGCTGCTCCAGAAAAACTGATTCTCTATAATAATCAGAAAGATTTACTTTATTCCCACTTGTATTTCTTTTTAAAGTAAATTATACTTCTTAATTGAATAATACACTAAATTGATTTTGTTTTCTTCATATAAAACTAATTATGCCCAATATGATTCAGTTTTTAAAGTAAGAGGAGCAAAGCTATCACAACAGACAAGAAAGAAAAAGGATTATCATATGTTTTCTGCTTTGCCTCTAACAGCTAGAAATAATTTGAGGTTAATTTCCATGACCTAAGCAATACATGGATTTGTAAAGACTATATAAAGCCAGAAAATGCTGAAGAAAAAAAATCTTTCCCTCTTACATCCTGTTAAATAATCTGAAATAACAAAATAAGGCACAAAAAGATCTCCCAGATTCTGGTCAAATAAAAGAAATGCTGCCTCTACTTTTACTTCTTAAACTTTCTTTTGCTTTACCCTCCCCCACCACCTGTTACTTACAGTCCTTGTACAGTTTCCCATCAACAACTAAAAGGACACTAGATATGCATTATCTTAATTCGTATCAAGTGACTATAACACATTTATACTAAAAATCAGAAAAACCAGTTTCACAAGATTCTGCTTATTCTATCAAACGGCACCAATTTATTTCAGTGTGGAAGCAGCCTTTTTTTCCTCTGATAATCACAAATTTACTATATACTAAAGAAAACATTTCAATTGTAAATTAAAATCATACATACGTTCTTTATTGCTGAAGTGATCAGAGTCCTTCCACATTAGTGGTATTCGAATATCTACAGAAGAGTGGAAAAGAAATGTCAAATATAATTTTTTCTAAGTTTTATTTCTTAACATGACATGAACCTATGGATTCCACAATGCATTTGCTAATGTATTCTGATAATTCCATAATGGATTAGGAACATAAAATCAGTTACATTTATTTAAAAAACTACTAAAAAGCAAAAGCACCAATGCACTGCAATAAATTACTTAACATGGCCCTGTTAGCCATAGTCTTTGTAACTTCCATGAGATGAACACGTGGAACTATGCAAATGAGGTACTTGTGGCCCACCAAGAGAACTGGATAACTTGCTAATAATGTAAATAAGGTGCATTGCACCCATGTGGGGGTGGGACCACGTAAATAAGGTGTATGATCCCGCTAGGCTTAAAATGAGATGTCCTAGAGGTGGAAAAGGGGGACCTGACTACCACCAAGGAGAGATGAGAGCAGAACCCATCCTTTGGAGCCGCGATTCTCCACTTAGATCCTCCCAGGCCCAGGGGACAGAAAGCTGTAACACTGAAGATGGCAAGACGGCGAGAAGCAGTGGCAGATAAATGGCGGCAGCAAAGGCATCATTATGAGTAGATCAGCAGGAGACAGCATGGTGAGCTTCCTGGCCCAAGAGTGAGAAAGCAGAGCACCTTTGGGCAGGAGGCTTGCTAACAGAGTAGGGTGCCTCCGGGCACTTGTCGAGGAAGCTAGGCTTGCCCACCCATGGAGTGAAAGTGCTGAGCGCCTTTGGGCTGAGGCTTACTGCAGTGGGGTGCCCCTGGGTACTTAATGGCGGAGCTAAAGAGATTTGTAACACTTGCCCAAGCAGGGCAGAGGCTGGGCCGAGGGGCCGAGGAGCTGAGGGCTGCCTGCGAGTACAACTGAGAAGAGGCTATCCTGATCGAAGAACTATATCCTGAGTCGTTTCTGAATTATAACCTAAAAAAAAAAACCAAACCCATTGCCATTGAGTCGATTCTGACTCATAGTGACCCTAAACGACAGGGTAGAACTGCCCCATAAGGTTTCTGAGGAGCAGCTGGTGGATTCGAACTGCTGACCTTTTGGTTACCAGCTGAGCTCTTAACCACTGTGCCACCAGGGCTCCAAATTGTAACCTGCTACTTCCCTAATAAACCCCATAACTGTGAGTATTGTCTGTGAGTTCTCAGTGGCCACTGCACTGAATTACCAAACCCAGCAGAGAAGTACAGCGAGCCACAGGAGGGATGGCTCATGTCAGAATTGCTAAAAAGGTTGGAGAGAGGAGGTATATCTGACCTCAGCCTCATAGGAATCAGCCTTGGGCTGTTCATGATGATAATGATTCCCTCTCCCCATCATGAAGTTAGAGGAGGTCATGTGTCTCTGCCACACCATTTTTTACAACCATTACTCAAATAATTGATTTATTAAGTGATCTATAATAAGCTTATACCATTAACATTTTCATTTTGTGATCTACATTTTAAAAATAGGTGAATTATGGGCAATCCAGTTTGTGGAATTTCTATTTTTTGGTAAGCAGTAAGAGCAACTGTAGTTAAATACATTTTAAAGACATAGAATAGTAGATGTAGAAGTGACTTTAGTGCTTTTATCCAATATGCAAACTTCAAAGAAAATAAGGGACTTGTCTAAGATCACTGGTTTTTGGTAGAGACCCATCTCTTGACAACCAGATTCAAGGTTTTTCCAGTACGATTTATCTACAAAAGAATTTGAAGATCTTTATATATTCATGTGCACACTGCAGTATTTTCCTTAAGAAATAAAACTAGAGAGAAGAATATACTACTATTTTCAGGCCAAGAAACGGACATATGCTCTAAAAGTGATTGAAACGTATTTTCTCTTATTCAGTCTTTAAATGCTAAAGTAATTGTGCTAATGGTCCTCATTCCAGAAGTTAATCTAGAACTTTGAGATATTCTAAATTTTTACTTCCTAGTTTTCTCCATTTTCCCCTTTATTTATTGTTTTATTTTATTGTGGTAAAATGTATGCAACAAAAATTGCCATTTTAACCGCTTTAAAATGTACAATTAGTGACATTAATTACATTCACCATGTCGTGCAACCATCACCACCATCTACTTCCAAAAGTTTTTCATCACCCCAAACAGAAACTTAGTACCCCTTAAGCAATAACTCCTCCCAGCCCCTGGTAACCACTAATAAACTTCAGTCTCGCTACACTTGCCTGTTGTAGATATTTCATGTTTAAGTGGGATCATACGATATTTGTCCTTCTGTGTCTTAGTTCACTCCGCATGTTTTCATGGTTCATCTATGTCGTAGCATGTACCAAAACTTCATTTCTCTATAAGGCTGAATAATAGTCCAGTATACGCATATGTCACATTTTGTTTATCCATTCATCTGTTGATGGAAACTTGGGTTGTTTCCACTTTTTGGCTATCGTGAATAGTGCCTCGCCTTTACTTTTAATACCAGGTGATAATAGTAACAATTTTCCTATCACATCCTCTTGATATGTGCTATGAATTGAATTGTTTTCCCCAAAAATATGTGTTGTAAATCCTAACCTCTATGCTTATGGTTAAAATCCCATTTGGGAATGAGTTGTCTTTGTTGTTAGTGAGGCAGGATTAGTGTAGGGTGTACCTTGAGTCAATCTCTTTTAAGATATATAAGAGATTAAACAAGCAAGCTAGGAAGCAGAGATGAGGAAAGACAGATGCTGAGCCACAAGAAGATCACCCAGGAGTGGGAGCTTGAAGAGAAAAGGACCTCCCTCCAGAGCCAAGAAAGAAAGAAATCCTTGCCCTAGAATCGGCACTCTGAATTTGGACTTCTAGCCTCCTCAACCGGAGAAAATAAATTTCTGTTCATTAAAGCCATTTACTTGTGATATTTGTTATAGCAGAACTAGATAACTAAGACATTATGTATTTTCAAAGTTAGAAGATCAAGGTTCTACCAAATTGATAAAGATGTATGAATTACGGTATAACACAGCACAGTAAAGAGATTTCAATGGACAAGTGAAATTAGTTTTAATTGCCTGGAGAGTATATATGAGCAATGAAAACCCTATGGATCACAATGGTCCAATCTGCAACCAATCACGGGGATGGTGCAGAACAGGGCAGGAGTTTCATCCCACTGTGCACGCGGTTGCCACGAGTCAGGCACTGACTCCACAGCAGCTAACAGCAACAACATAAATACACCTCAAACTTTCTCTTCAGTTTATGTATGGAAAATTTCTTTTTCTAAAACAATTCCCTATTACCACTTAGGAAGTTTATATGCAAATTTTTCATGCCTATTAATTATTGCCACTTTCAATTAATTACAAATCTTTAAGAAATTAAGGTATTCAGCTAGATTTATGTGCTTCACTTTTTAGATCACATGATTTTGTCTACTTTTCTATTTTTTTTCAGACTTCTATTTTTAAGGCTCTTAATACCTATTTCCAATTTTCTTTTTAGAAAAGCTTTATATTAGTCCCCCTCCCCCATCATCACCTAATCCAGCAGATATGTATTTATCGATCCTGATAAATATACTTATTGGGCTTTCCCCATGTCCAAACTAAGCATTTTACATACATCTCATTCAGTAATAATTTAAAAAATATATTTACCAATTTAATATCCAGGTGACAGGATTTAATTGTTTAGATTTCCATTTTCTTGATTAACAAAAACGTTAATATATTTCTTGGCCACTTTAGTGAATCTATTCGTATCCATGAACCATTTTTCTACTGAATATTTTCATTGAATTTTAGGAGCTCTTTACTTAATAAAAATATTCTTGCTTTGTCATACTGTTTATAGTTCCTAGTGGTTGGTCCCTTTTGTATTTTAAACATATTTTTAAAAATTTTTAAATTTTTACATAATGAAATAAGCCAATCTTTTCATTATTTTATGTTTCAAAGGTCTCTTGGTGACACAGATAAGTTACTATTCATCTACATTTTCTCTAGACATTATTTATGGTCTATACTTTCAAAAGTTAACTAGTCTATGTGAAATTGTTGGGTATGTGAGGTGAGAATACAAATCTTCTTAGAAAAATAATTGTTCCAGCACTATTTATAAATCCAATAGCCTTCTCTTCCTGATTTATGATACTATCCTTTATCTATATAACATTCTTAGTGTCTGTTTTTTGGCTGTATGTTTTATGGATCAATTACTCTGTTTATCATAATCATCATACCTTGATAATATACTTTAATATTTGTTAGAAAATGTACATCCTTTCAAAAACATCTTATTCTCGCTTGCTAAGTTCTTTAAATGGGTTTTAGAGCTATTTTGTCAAAATCCCTCCCTCCCAAATGTTTCATTAAAAAAAAAAAATAAAAGGAACAAATCCATTGCCATCGAGCTGATTCTGACTTACGAACTACTCCATAGGGTTTTCTTGGCTGTAATCCTTATGGAAGAAGATTGCCAGGTCTTCTTTTTGTGGCACTGCTGGGTGAATCTGAACCATCGTCCTTTGGATTAGTAGACAAATGCAAACCGTTTACACCACTCAGGGACCTCATGTTTCACTAGAATTCTATTACGTAAACTAATTTGGGAAATATCTTTATAGTAATCTGTTTGACAGAGAGTAGCATGGTACATTTACCCTTACACTTTTGTTAAGGTTAGCCTCAGGTATTTAATGTTTATTTATTGGTGTTATTGCAAGTGGAATATTTTTTGCCATTGTTTTCTACTTAGTTATTGCTGGTTTTGAGAGAAGATACAGTTTTATGTATATTTATTTTAAATCTAGCCACTTTTACTAAATTCTTTATTGATTCAAATAGTGTTTCAGTAAATTCCCTTAGATTTTCTAGGTCTGCAACTTATTATCTTCAAACGGCATTCAATGTCTATTTCTCTTCAATAGTTTCATCTTTTATTCTTACTATTTTTGCAAGGATTTCTAAAACAGTGTTCAATTACACTGATGAAAACAGACATCATTATTTTGTTCTAGATTTTAATGGTTTTTTTTTTTTTTTATAATTATGATTGGCCAGTGTCCTGTTAAATGAGCCCATTTCTTTTTGCTTAACCACAGTTGCTGGCACATGTCTCAACTGCTCTTGTTCACAGCTGTTCTTACTGTTAGGGTGGCACTATTTACATTATCATGAAAGGAACAAGGACTCTCTGACTTCCGTTGCTGTACACCCAAAGCTGTTGGTCAGTCTTACCCTCTCAGAGCCCCAAGAAAGGGAGGTGGACATTTCTTATCTATTTCCCAGGTGGTCATATACTTTCCAGACAGCCAAAGATGTGTAACCCACCAATTATGTTTCTCAATCCAGCTTCAGATGGTAGCAATTCTTTGCAGATTCTTGGAAATGGTTGACTCAGTTTTACTTTACAGGATTCTTGCCTTTGTCATTTGTATATCTTCACTGATATTTTATTGGTACACTGAGAGAGCCATAATAGGATGCCTAGCTTGATGCCATCAGAACCTAAAAGTCTATCATTTTCAAAGGTGAAAACTGAGGTACTTGGCGAATTAATTTGGCTGTAGTCATAGAATCTGTAATCAGTGAATAAGCTGAGACACTACCGCAACACAATTATTTGGCATTCAGCAGAAATAAGAATAAATACCTCAATTATTATCCTTTACTTTTATAAACAACTGGCCAGTGAGTGGTAAAGCTGGAAATGAAAAACCTGGGTATCTCTTGGTCATCAATGTAATCTCAGAAAAATTATGAAACTTTGTTACAAATATTCATTTTGACCAAAACAAGTCACACTTCCACCCCAATGCCAAAAGAAATTGGATTTATAAAGGTGAATTTTTTATTTTTCTTTTTTTTTAACCAATATATAGACAAAATATAATTAAGGCTAGGCAAAGAGGAAAAGAAATTACATATATATTCCATTTTCTGAGACTTTCAGATCCTTAATTTGAAGTTATCTTTTGGAAAGAAGGAACACATATAGAAATAAGTTTCATTTTTGCACTTTGAACATTTGTGGTCATGAAAACATTTTATTTAAAATGTGGGAAAATAAAATTTTACTTCAGAAGCTTTTACCTAAACACCCTTCTAAATGTACAGTTAATTCCAAGATCATGAATTGCTATAATCAATAAACTATTAAGAAATGACAACAGATGTTAACGCTATCATGTCATTTAAGTCTTCAATAGCAATTTAACATATCTCATTTGCATACTATATGGTACCATATTAGAAGCAACGAATGGAGGATTATGTTTAAATATTTTTAGAAATCATCTTTAAAGACATAATATTTTATTTATTCATGTTAAAACGTATTGAACATAGTGAATACCTAACATGTAAATGTACTATGTTAGGTATCAAAAGGACACAAAGAGGTATAAAACATGTTTTATCCCAGTCTTATAATTGGAAAGATGAAAACACGCATATAAATAAGTATAAAACAAGAAACAGATTTTTATATAGTTATTTTTCTGAAGAATTTTTGATTAGCGGACAGCAATTCCTCTGATTTGGGCCAATTATATCCTATATAAGATTTAGATCTATTCTTCCTGAATAAGAATTTTTATTTCTTCATAAAAAACATTTCTAAAAACAGTTCCTTGGGTGAGAGGGCCTGAAATGTAGCAGCAGGCTCCCTGATACTAAAAGAACAAGGCTTTTGGTCAATGAAATAACCTAGTGTTAGGGACTGAATTGTGTCCCCAAAAAATGTGTTGTAAATCCTAACCTCTATGTCTGTGGTTATAATCCCATTTGGGAATGAGTTGTCTTTGTTAAAGAAGCCCTGGTGGTGTAGTGTTAAAGCATTCGACTGCTAACTGAAAACATCAGTGGTCTGAAACCAGTGGCTCCGTGGGAGAAAGATGTGGCAGTCTGCTTCTGTAGAGATTTACAGCCTTGGAAACCCTATGGGGTCACTATGACTCAGCATCAACTTGATGGCAGCGGGTTTGGTTTGGGTTTTTGTCTTTGTTATATTAATGAGACAGGATTAATATAGGGTATGTCTTAAATCAATCTCATTTGAGATATAAAACAGATTAAACAAGCAAGAGAAATGCCAAGCCACATGAAGACTGCCCAGGAGCAAAAGCTCAGAAGAGACAAGGACCTTCCTCCAGAGCCAGCAGACAGAACAAGTCTTCTCTTAGAGCCTGCACCCTATATTTGGACTTCTAGCCTCCTAAACTGAAGAAAATAAACTTCTGTTTGCCAAAGCCATCCATCCACTTCTGGCATTTCTGTTATAGCAGCACTAGATAACTTAGACACCTAGTTAGTACTTAAGGACCCATAAAGGCAGATACTGTTGTTTCCAAAATATGCTGATGAAATAATGTTTGTAGAAGGTGAATTATCTAATGATTATACACACAAGTAAGCCATGTGTTCACTTCAATCTGTCACATCTCCAAGACACTTTGTCTTCAGCTTCCTTAACACTTTGGAGAAACTGAGACTACACAGCATAAGTGCCATCTAGTGGTGAAGAATCTCCTAACTGCATTAGGAAGTCAGAGAAAGGAAACATTCCTAGTTGGAATAACAGGAAAGGCTTTATGGTTGAGCAAGTAGATCTTGAAAGAAATACAGTTATTTCAAGAGCTAATTGGATACCAGGATCATGGGGTGAGTTCACAAGACGAAGAGAGAAATGCCTGGTGAAAGCTGACAGTTTACGTATAGTGGAAGATATGCCTAGAAAATAGTTGAGTCAGAATGGAAAACTCTGGGGAAAAAACAGTTTGGTCTTTATCCTGCAGTCAATAAATAGCAGTCATCTATCCAATAAATAAATATTCACTGAGCAATTACTATGTGCTAAGCATTATGTTAGCTTCTGGGTCTACAGTGATGAACAAAACAAACATGATTCCAACCCTCATGAACTTCTAGCCCAGACAATATTAAAAAACATTAACGCTTCTGAGCAGAAAAGGAATGGAGAGTCAAAAGACTTGGGTTTGCTGCCCAGCTCAACCAGTTACAGTGAGTAACTTAACTTCTGATATGTAGAAAATGAGAACTGCCCTACTTATTTCACAAGGCTGCACTAAGGATAAAACTGTGTAATACATGTAACGTATATGAAAGTTTTCCTAAACTGTAAAGCTCTACACAAATGTAGAGCATAATGATGAAAACAGTGTTTTAGGACAAATATTCTGACAGAAATATGCAAAATAAAACTGAAGGGAAGCAGGAAGTTAACAAAAACAACTTGAGGAAGTTTTTTATAGAATTTATTAAGCAATATAAAAATAATCCATCTATAGCATACCTGATATGGCAATCTTCCCTTTACATGCTGTTCGTTCTTTACTTTCAAAACTTACACTGCTGTCAAAAGAAAAAGCCTTATTAAAAAAATATATATATCTTTCCCAAAAAACAATTGTTTTAACAGTTTTCACAAATAAATACATTTTAAAATGAACACATACCTATAAACAATAATGACTTCCAGTTAATGTAAATGATTTGACTCAAAGCTGGAATCGACTCTACGGCCGTGGGTTTGTTTTTTTTTAAAAAAACATTTACTCAACAGCTAGCTGGTTTTAACAGAAATACACAGAGCCATTCTCTTTCATTTTTCATATAAACTTTATATTCTTTGCTGATTGCATACCAGCTTACTCTATAACGAAATCCCTTGTGATTACTTACACTCATAAATAAGAAGTATAATATCTGCCCAGGTTCCAAAAGTATAGTACCTTCGAGCACCATTTCATAAATTACATTTCCAGCTTACCGGATACAGTGGCCTGAAAAAGTTAATGAACTTCCCAATCAGGTAACTTGCTGACCAAGAGTAACTTATCTTTACAGAATTTGACGGATTATCAGAAAATTTATCTCTGCTATATATTTGTAATTTTTATCAGAAAATTTCTCTCTGCTATATATTTATATTTTTTATTATAAAGGGTCCCTGGGTGGTGTAAACAGCTAAGTGATCAACTAGTAGCCGAAAGGTTGGTGGTTCAAACTCACCCAGGGGTGTTTCAGAAGATAGGTCTGGCACTTTCTTCCAAAAGATCACAGCCTTGAAAACTCTACGGAGCAGTTTTACTCTTCATACATGCAGTCACCATGAGTCGGAATCGACTTGATGGCAACTAACAATATGTTTATATGCAGTTAATATTATATTTCATTTCTCCGAAATTGCAAAGAACTAAGCAGATACTAAAACAATAAATTAACTAACTAAGGTGGGAAAGGAAGGGAGTGGCTCTGAAGAGAAAATAAAATGTAGAGAGGAAAATATTATCATGACAATAGAAAAAATTTTCAAAGGAAACTCCGGGGATATACGACATTTCCAGATCTGATTTTGGAGTGTACTATTACCATGAAAAAAACATCTTTCAAAATAGATATCTCCCATAGAGACAGAAAGTAGATTAGTGGTTACCAAGGGCTGGGGGAAGGGACAATGGGAAGTAATTACCGAAGGAATACTGAGTTTCTGTTCGGGGTGATGAATACATTCTGGAAATAAATAGTGGCAACGGTTGCACATTGTGACTATAATTAATGCTACTGAATTGAACACTTACATATGGTTAAAATGGAAAATTTTTTTATAGGTATTTTACTACAATAAAAAAACTTTAAAAAAATGGTATCTCCTCCTAGACAAGTTCAATTCCATCCTTAAATAGCTCCCCAATAACCTACTTTCTAATAACCTGCATTTATAGATTAGCACTCTATTTCTCAAGCAATATTTCCAAGAGCATTTTTTGCATTTTTTTGGGGGGGGGGCAGGAGTCTCTATTTGGTTAGCTAATTAACTGTCAGCTAATGTAATTAGGTACTTCGAATATGTGATAAGATGAAAACTTCATTTTAATACTGTTTGATTCTAAGAGGGCTTCTGGAAAAAGACCAGGTGGGAGTATGGAGTGGGAGGTTACTCTAATTACTAGCCCATCTCAGAGCATGTCAGTAGCTTTGTACAAGAGACTATCTATGTATTCATTATCACGGTTCCAAATTGGATGACGAAACATGATTTTTTTTATCCCTTTTTCGGATTAAGCACACAAGTATTATATGTGAAGTATATTTCAAATGAGCTAAAATAATTTACTAAGGTACTTAAGTTTATATGGGGTATTTATAGAATCACATACTAGGTATGATTAAAGCACTGTAGTAGATTAAAAGCCGTATATTCTCAGAATCCTATCTAATTACTTTATGATCACACCTAGTATGTAAGTTAAAATAGACTACACTCAATGAAAAATATAAGTATTCACTGATTCAAAATCATGTTTTTTCCAAAATAATGTTCCAGTGAATCATAAAATGAAAAGAGTGTCAAGTTCAATATTTTCTATGCCTCACATTAGCTTGCTTAGTTCATCAGTGTGAAAAAATTCAACTGAATTATCTGTTTTATATTTTGGTGAAAATAATATACTGAAATGCCCACTTGAAATCAAACACAAATCTCAATTTCTTCCAATTGGTACAAGAAATACAATATAAATACATTTGTATTTACATTGTTGGCATTCGTAAGTAACATTTTAAAAAAATTACTTCTATATGAGTAATGCATAATATAAATTCATATACTACTTATTTTAGTGAAAAAAGATAAGGAAGCTCTAATATGGTGAGTAACTTGGATATTACAGACTAGGCCATAGATTATGTTAAAGTTAAGATCCATTAGGTATTATTAAATTGAATTAAACTTGAGGCTTTGGCACGCAAGTGAAATTCTGAAATACTAGGAACACCAGAAGTAAACTTATTCTTTACCAAAAAAAAAAAAATTTTTCCCTTCCAAACTATTCAACCACGTGGCAGAGTACAGCTTTCTTACCTGCAATTAAAAATTATTTGCAAAGGGATTTCTAGGGCCAGTCAGCAAATTCATTATATGCAAATATTATCAAAACAAAATATGAATCCAATTAACCACATAATCATACAGAATTAAGGCTGTCTTTTTAAAAATTGAGACAAGCTGAAGAAATTCAGCTTCAACTTTCTGAAGCTTGAGTTACTTTCAATTCAAATATCTCCCAGAACTGTTATTTTTAGTGCTAAAATGTGATGTTTTTCTAATTAATCCAAATTGACAATAAGATTATTAAACATTATCTGTTTAATAATGTGCTACTGTAGCTAATAGTCTGTTACAGTTAAACAAATGCTTGTTTTGAAAATCTGCAATGTTAATGCCAATTCTGAATGCTACAACTAGAGAGCTAGCCTGAGGAAAAAGCAAATACCCACAAAATTACCTAAACAAAAGCCAGCTGAATAATACTGTGCCTTATTCTTATGAACCCTATTTAGAGAGTTATCTAGGTAAGGATAGGAAATTTAAAAGACAGGGGTAAGCATATAAAGGACAAATTTTTAACTTTGTTTTATTACTTCTAAGATATTTCTCCCTGTAGGTAAATAAAATGACCAAAAGAGGGTGCCAATTAGCCACTTTGTTGCTCAAAAACTATTTTAAAATTGAGTAAATAAACATTATCCTAATTTATACTTTCTAGACAGGAATTTAAAATAGCATTTCTTTCCCAAAATTAACAAGCTGTAATGGGAAAAAGCACAATGATTAAAATATTTCATATTTTCTTAATGAAGAACTAAAATAATTTTAAATAGTATTCTATTATTTGAAAGCAGGTTATAAAATCCTTCACCTTTATGCACATAAGTGAAAACTAAAACACTCAAAACGCTTAATGTGAAATTTTAAACCATCCTAAAACTATGTGGCATAAAATTAACAGCTTCAAAAATATCTTAAATTGGGCAAATAAGCCTTCTACTTCAAATCTTGACATAACTAATTCTCTTGAACAGATACTAGACAACATAAAGCTTAAAAAACAAAATCAGAAACGTCACTAAATATTTCATGTTTTATTGTGGAAATACCAAGAGTAAAAATAATTTTCACTTCCAACCTATGCTTTCTTTTTTAAGTTACAGTATATAAGCAATAAACTAGGAAACTGGAGTATAAGAGACTATTTAGCATAGTAATCACATAAAACTCATGAAGTTATTTTGGCACGATTAAATCACAATTATGTTGAATGATACCCATAATTACTGTTGTTAGGTGCTGCTGAGTCGGTTCTGACTCATAGCAACCCTGTGTACAACAGAACGAAATACTTCCCGGTTCTGTGCCATCCTCACAATTGTTGCTATGTTTGGATCCACTGTCACAGGCACTGTGTCAATCCATCTTGTTGCGGGTCCTTCTCTTTTTTGCTGATCCTCTACTTTACCAAACATGATGTCCTTCTCCAGGGACTGGTCCCTCCTGATAATATGTCCAAAGTATGTGAGGTAAAGTCTCGCCATCCTCGCTTCTAAGGAGCATTCTGGTTGTACTTCTTCCAAGACAGATTTGTTTGTTCTTCTGACAGTCCGTGGTATATCCAATATTCTTTGCCAACACCATAATTCAAAAGCATCAATTCTTCTTTGGTCTTTCTTATTCATTGTACAATTTTCGCATGCATATGAGGTGACTGAAAATAGTATGGCTTGGGTCAGGCGCATCTTAATCCTCAAAGTAACATCTTTGCTTTTTAACACTCTAAAGAGGTCTTTTGCAGCAGATTTGCCCGATGTGATGCGTCGTTTGATTTCTTGACTGTTGCTTCTATAGGCATTGATTTGGATCGAGGTAAAATGAAATCCTTGACAACTTCAATCTTTCTCCATTTATCATGATGTTGCTTACTGGTCCAGATGTGAAGATTTTTGTTTTCTTTATGTTCAGGTGAAATCTATACTAAAGACTGTAGTCTTTGATCTTCATTAGGAAGTGTTTCAAGTCCTCTTCGTTTTCAGAAAGCAAGGCCGGGTCATCTGCATATCGTGGGTTGTTAATGAGTCTTCCTCCAATCCTGATGTTGCACTCTTCTTCATATAGTCCAGCTTCTCGGATTATTTGTTCAGCACACAGACTGAGTAAGTATGGTGAAAGGATCCAACCCTGACGCACACCTTTCCTGATTTTAAACCATGCAGCATCCCCTTGTTGTGTTCGAACGACTGCCTCTTGGTCTATGTACAGATTCCACATGAGTACAATTAAGTGTTCTGGAATTCCCATTCTTTGCAATGTTATACCCATAGTTTGCTATGATCCACACAGTAGAATCCCTTTGCATAGTCAATAAAACACAGGTAAACATCTTTCTGGTATTCTCTGCTTTCAGCCAAGATCCACCCGATACCAGCAATGATATCCTCGTTCCACATACTCTTCTGAATCTGGCTTGAATTTCTGGCAGTTCCCTGTTGATGTACTGCTGCAAATGCTTTTGAAT